AAAAAAACATATAAGACAAATCTAATTAAGTAATAACTGGCTCAGACACTGTTGCCCTCTTTAATAACAGAAGAAATTGGTGTGTTTGCTTTGGTTTCCTCTCCACATCTTTCGGACTCATCTGTGTTGTTGATTTATAAAACCAACGACCGCTGTGCACATCTAGAGACTTGTCAGTCTGGTTAGCTTATCTCTGGACCTACATTCTGACTGTGTCATGATTTGCATTTAGAACCACACACAGGTCTACATTATATAACACTCAAAACTTGTGCACATTGGGCCTATCACCCTGAACTTTGAGAATATTGATATATATCAGAAAGTCTGCGCCACAATCAATGAAGTAGGTTGATTATAACAGCAGGTCTACTTAATTTAATGTTAAGTATTAACTATATTAATAGCACCTGTCCTTTTCCCCCATAAAGGTGAGCGTTTGGGTGAGGGTGTTGTGTCGGTTAAACCACCAAACTACGAGATGGATATAGTTTACAGATTAATGAGTTGCCATTAAATGTAGCACAGACATTCATGTTACCTTGCGGGTGAATCTTATTCACTTAGGTTATTCTCTGACTTATCCTTTCATACCATTATTACATTAAAATGACATTCAACGTAGCCTCTGCTATAATTATGGTTCTGTGCTAATCATCAAATGTAAGCCTGCCAAACTAAGATGATAAAAATGGTAAAACGTTAATGTTGCTTAGCATTAGCATGTGGCAACACTAGGAGAGATCCCATTGCACAGGCATGCCTCTAAAATATCAAATAGGTATTAACTGCCCTTAGCAAGCAGACAGAATTGGTCGTAACACAAGTCATTTCTTCAACTGTGCTCATTCCTGCAATGGGCGTGGGGTCTTCAGAATAAAACCTGCCTTCTCTCTGTGCTTGTCACTTTGCTCGGTTGCTCATGAGAATGTACTGCGATCACATTAAACAAGGATCATTTTTAGCTTGAAGCTACGGGTTTAAAAATGCGTATGCCTGCTTTATTAAAATGTACGTTTATTGATTTAGTTGTTGGCATTAAAAACTGGAGTATTGCTTGTTTCTTGCCTAGCAACTGCTCAACTGATCTAATCTGGAACTTAGATTTTTACCCCTTTATAACTTTAATAGCACAAGATGATGAAATCTGGACTTAATGTGATAGGATAAGAGATTCTAAAGGAGTCAGATTTTATAAGTGAATGTCAAACCTTATTTGAATTTGATATTATGCTATTGAACTCCAGCCCTGAGCCTCACAGATTCACTTGAATGGCTGTAGACTCGTAGTCAGTGTTAATTTGGCAGCTGGTTTTGATTTTGTGTCGGTCTTAGCCCCTTGATGAATGTGGGCTAAAGTTCTTGTCAATTTCATATCCACAAAAACTAGATATGTCAGTCATCATTTTTACCTCCTCTTTGTTCAGTTTGGTGGTGGGTGGCAAGTAGGATTGTCATCCTTTAGAAGCCCATAGATCCCATCTTCTCAATTTTAGTGGATAAGACATGGACACAAATAAAAGGTTGTGTTCACATGCAATACATCTTTTAATAAATAGTTTGTAATTTTAGTTAGTATCTTCATATGTTAATTGTCCCCCTTTTTTAAGTTAGGGTTTTAATTAGTTATTTGAGAAAATTAAGTGCAACAGCATGACACATGACAATGTAATTGTCTTTGGTCCCACCTCCAGCATTAATGAAATCATTCCAAATCCATTCAGTTAAGGATATTTCACTGTACAATACACATTTTGCTTGGATATGAGTTACTGTGCAAGGAAACCTCCAACTTAGTGCATGTTGAAAATATTAAGTCAGTTCTGTCACAGTAACAAATCTTGTTGAACGATTTATTGTGACAGAAAATATTGTTATAAATGATATTATTGTCATCATTTTGTAACGATTTTATAATGTAATAATATAATTATACAAGTACAACCTTTTAAAGTGCGTGCGTGCATGCATACAAACAGACGACCAGATGTATTTAGTGATTCATGATTATGAATCCAGTTTATTCCAGTCACTAACACTGACGTCCTGGCTGTGGGCGTTCAGTCTTAACTATTGTCTCGAAATGTGAGACATACCTGACTGACACTGTGCTGACAGTCTGCAAATGTATGGGACAGACGATACTTATCTGACTTATCTGAGGTTGAGTAAGAGGAGACCAGTGTCAGCTGGCTTTTATTTAGTTTTCTCCTGTTGTCCACAGTTTGATCTGCCTCGAAAATGCAACACACATTGTTGCTGTTTCGACTTACTCGCCTCCTTGACTTTGCTTGTCTGGATTTTTCCTCCAGACAATTCCATGAATTCCACGAATAGGAAATCCTGTTACAGTGAAACTTTGATAAAGTCGCAACATTCTCAGACTGTTGATTCTTTCAAGTAATATTAAAAACACCTTTTCCGGTTATGTAATTTGAATTTGAACATTTTGATTGAATTATTAACATCATCACTGTGAAGCTGTTGCACCCTTCACACTGTTAAAACCTTCTGTGTCTGCGTGTGTCAAGCCTCTTTATCCCACACGCTGTGTGCCTGACCTGTTAATTATTCAAAGGTCTCCTCTTAGAAAGTGTGTTGTGTTGCCTTTGGGTGACCAGGCATGCATGAAGTGTTTCTGAGCTGCATAGTGATACCAGGCTATGAGCTCCCTGTCTACCCTGTGCTGAAGGCAAGGACACAGAGAGAGTGACCTGGTTTATTCATAGAACTCGATAACACCACTTCTAATGTCTAGAGAATTGCTAAACAGACTTCCCGACAAGAAGCACTTTCCTTGCTGTCTGGCTTGTGATTTCCCAGTGTTTAGAGGTGATTAAAGAGCTGTGGTTCCAGGATCTTTTTACAGAAAAATCTCAGCTTAGTTGAAACATTAGGAATTGAATAAATTTTACATTCTAACCCTCTGAAATAACTGAAAGCCTGTCAAAACATCACATATCTGCATTGTGTATCTGGGGGTTTCCCCTGCTGTCTTTTTGCAGCTCTTGGACTCTAATTAATGATTAGCTCTAATTAGCAATACACAAGATAAAGTAGTGCATTTAATGAATAGCCTGGGGCCTGGCACTGCTTATTAGATTCAATTATGACCTCGAGTTTCCTCTCTGAGCACATTTTTCTACATCATATTGTTATTAAGGGAAGTTAAAAACTTGTAATTCCCAAAAGTCGTCATCATGTCATATTATAGCTACAAGTAGAAGATGAATGTAGAAATTCAGGAAAGTTGATCCATATGGTAAAACCAGATTTAGGCCAATGAATATTCATTCCATACTGGACTTAATGTATCAGGCAATTATTCACTATCGACCTGGGAAAAAGTTCACCACAAGTGAAATAAAGATGATAAATTACTTATTTGTATTGGTGGGTGGTTGTTCTTAAATTGTAGATGCTACCAGGCCGCTTTGTCAAGCTCTCCACATCACTACATGATGTCAGTTGAAATGGAAGTGTACCTGTGAGGCATGCATGAGTCTCCCTCTTTGACTTGCTAATATTGATCCATCGTAAATCTAGTTCTCTTTTCATCTGTTTTTTTGTTGGTAAAGATAATAATTCGTGGTGTTTATGGTGAACTCTGTAATGTAGGCCAATGCACCAAAGACACACCACTTGGATGTGTGACCTTTGCTAGATTTTTTGCTTGTGTGTGTCTGCGCATGAGATTTGTCAACAAAAACCTATAGAGTAACTTCAGACTTTAAAGAGGTAAAGGCTCTTAAATATTTGTCAGTGATGGTTGATTTCTACAACAGCCATCAGATATTACCACAGACTAAGAAAAGTAAGTCAAGTATTTGACTGTTAGTATAAGTTAATACCACTTGACTAAATGCACTTATAAAACCCCCATTGCTTCCGAAAGCGTTGTACAACTTTCCCAAAATAGTCTCCGGCATTTGGAGCCCACAGTACTTGTATATTTGTGTCTGCTGTTACTAGCAAGTTAATATATATTAAGCTGTGACATTTGTGTCACAGCATTTTCTTGAAAGGATCACAAGGCTCTGAATTTCCGTTTCTGTCAGATGTGGACGACTATAAAACAAACACATTTTAAGACGATCAGATTCTTGGCCCTTTAGTGACGTCAGCCGTGTGCTCTCCAGCTGCACTGCAGCTGTGTTTGTGTGCGTGTGCGTGCATGCCTGCATGTTCATCTGCCTCTTTCACACAGAGTTGCAGTAACAGAGAAAACGTTTACAGGAAAATTAGTCATTAAGTGCGGGTGACTGGAGAGATGTAACCTCTCACATTGCCTGCTTGAGAATTTCCTCCCAATTACCCACATAACAGACACTGAGACACACAGACAGAGACACCCACGAGGGAGGCACCACTGTACAGTGCTGTTAAGAAATCTCTGATTGGTTGTCAACCTTAAATTTTTGTCTTGAAGTTCAGTTCATACAATGACAGAAAAAGTTTTTAAAGTTCTCTCAATACAAGATAAGTAGAAAGTGCACGTTTGAAAGAGGCTTTTTTTTCCCTTTACGGATATAAGGAAATTTGGATTGAGGTGTGAAATAGCAGAAAAAGCAGCACTCATGCTGAACAGTTTCCTGGCTCAGAAATGGGGAAATGAATTTCCCCATGAGATGTTTGATAGTGGATAAAAAGAGGACATGCCACAAAAGAGGGAAAAAAAATTTGTAAGACGCAAACAGAAATGAATCCGATTTTTCTCTAAAATGTTACCATGAATGTAGGAGAAATGTGTTGCGCCCAGTCCTGGCCTTGATAGAAGATGTTACATGCTGGTAATTCTATTCAGTCTCAGTTGATCAACTGTCAACTTGGGTCTAACTGCAGCTTTGAAAACTAAGATTTCTTTGGTGAAACCCAAATGTCAAATGAATTTGGCTCGAAAATGCAGCAGAAGTGCTGGAGATAAATGTTTTAAAGCTCCATGACATATTACTGGAGCATGTTGTAGTAACTCTTTCTTCTCTGCTTCTTTCCTCCTCCAGCCCTCCAGTGTTACTGTGAACGCTGCAGCGCAAATTCCAGCTGTGAGACAGATGGCGTCTGCTTCGTCGCCATACGCAAGTCCGGCAGCCGATACACCACTGAGCAGCGCCAGTGTGTACAGGAAAGTGAACTGTTCCCGCGAGACCGGCCCTTCATCTGTGCCCCGTCCGTCAAACATGACACGGGTATTTACCCAATATGCTGTACCACGGACTACTGCAACAAAGAGCCCGATCTCGATAGTTTCCCCGGTAAGAAAAACACAGTAGGGTTGCTGCAGTTACATGTTTGTTGTGACACATCCGCCACACCTCCTGTTTCATTTTTTAAATATAAATAAAAAATCAAATTTCATCTCAAGCTCATCTGGAAAATACTTGTTATCAATACCTACAGTTATATATTACTTAATCTTTAGACTCTCTCCTCATTGTGTGAGAAGACTCTACTGCTGTATAATGTGACTACAGCTGCACAGAGCAGACGCTGTTCACTGGCTCATCGACAGACAGGTAAACGAACAGAGGGAGAAGAACAGTGGTGCTGGGGCTGCACACGACTTTACAATGACGCAACAGCATTAAACAGAAATTTAGAGAGCTTTAATATTATAATGAGTAGTTCCCCAGAAGCTTGGATTATGCACCAGAGTCATTAATCAGAAGCATTTCTTCTGTTAAAGGAGATAAAATGAATATCAAGATAGAAATATATATATATATACACACACACACACACACACACAAAGTATATAAGAAAAATAACACAGGCACATTTTTCACAATGTCTGATCCATTCTTTTCAGACCAGCAGAGAACACAACCCATCTTTTCTCTTCTATCCAATCTATTTGCTACAATCTATTTGCTACTCTCTGCTGTAGTCCTGAGATAATGGGTCACTTTTCCCATGGAATATATTTCCCCACCAGCAGGGTCACATTTCAACCAGCTCCATGTTCTGGCCTGTTTAGATGCGGGCATCAGGATTTAGACAGAGATTGTTTTAAATTATGTCCCAGGGGCATGAAATCCCGGTCACACAATCTGGGGGGTTCCGAAAATCTCCTCAAGAATGTCAATAACCCTGCCCCAGAGTGTATTTTATACATGACCAGACAATATGTGAGCGATTGGGTTTCTGCTCACACTTTCTCCAGTACTGCTGCTGTTCGCCCAATTGTTTATTTTTTATGTGTGGTGTAATACAACAAGCTGATGAAATTCTCTCATCTGTATTCCCTCTATCTTGTGAAGTTAGTAGAAGTTTGTTTCACTCATGGCTTGCCAATCCCTCTTCGACTATTAAATGTTCAATTCTAGTTCCCATTTCAATTTTTAAAGTGGAGTTTTTCCATTTCGTTTTTTGTTAACTTCTGTGCAGTTCGGAGACAATCTTTGTAGGGGTTTGTCTGTATGTAACTTTAAACACTTATTCCCTTTTTATTTCCGCATCATAGAAGTCCGACGTGGCTTCAATTCAGTTTGACGTCATACTCTCTCTCTTCTTTATGAATATGTGCCCTCAAATCATTTGTTTTGTTCAGCAAACAACTGGGTATTGTTTACCCCTCGTCATTATATATTTAAAAGGGCTATATGTGCACCGGTACACCATAAAACCTACAGGGATAGTTCACTGTAAAATTAAAATTCCCTCATCGTCTACTTCCCACTATGCGGATGGAGGGATGGGTGAAATGTTTGAAAAACACTTATGGGGTTTCTGGGGTCAACAGTGTTGCAGTCAAATCCAATACAACTGAAGTAAATGGGACCCCTTCTAAAAAAACACTACATGCCTCCATACTGCCTCTGTGGTGTCGTCCAGATGTCAGCAAGCCCCAACATTCAAATTAGACTGGAAACTGTGTCATGTACACCACATTTTTTAGCCTAAATATCGTCTGATATTCCCCTCAGAGCCGCTTTCTCAGTCTCACAGACACACAGGAAAACCGCACACGCTCTCACCCGAGGGCATGCTCAGGGTGCATGTTTCATATTTTTTTACAGGTTCATATGAGGGACCTGTGTATAAGATGTTGTTTAGAGTGACTGCAACAATTCAATGAAAGTTATTCAAGTAACAAAACCATTGTTTTCAATGAATAAAAAGCGGTCAGATGACCTTATTTGACAGTTGTGATGGCTGTAGCCAGCAACGATAACTCAGACACATAATTGTGAACCTTGCATCATTAAGAAAGGAGAAAAAAATGGTGTTTGTTTCAATACTAGGCCTACCATTTAATTATATGGTTGTTTGCCACCAATTACTATCCTCAACGTCAGGAAAGATTCCTGGAAAACATCCTGGAGAAAATAGTAGGAACCCTGCTCTTTGCTGTCTGTCTCTGCCGATAACTTTACAGTTAGCATGTGTCGCTTTCTTGAATTAGGAGTGAGATTTGTGGTGCACTATTTTCACACTGCTGCACACTTTTTATACTGCTATCGCAATTTAAAGATCTCAGACAGTGCCAGAGGATAGCAGCAGCTGTATTCATCTTGAATTCACAGCAGTTCCACCAGATTTTAATGTCCATTGAGTCATAGAAAAAAAAAAACAAGTCAGCAAAGTTCAGCATCGTACAAAGCGGATCTGGGTTTGATCATTACTCTTCCACTAAATACCTGATTATCCTCAGAGCCTTGGAGCTGAAGGTAATGGTGCAACACAATATTAATGGTAGTGTACATAACATACATGCACCATAGAAAAGTACTATTGTGTAAAAATACTGATGTAAATACAATACACACTGTCAACACAACCGTCAGGGTCAATCTGTTTAGTTTCTTGCCCGAGAGCTGTTTGACACGTGATACAGAGGATCTAGCGATTGAACCACCAGAAGACCCGCTCTATATCTTAAGCATCATAAGCTTCCCACAGTCAACACCTTTCTGACACCTGTTCTAATGATGCTTAAGGCCACACACGTGAGCTTTTTTAATAAGATTAAATTATGACCATCTTCATAAAGAATAGGTTCAGCAGTACATAAAGATCTATATTCAAAGGGCAGCCAGTGCATTATAAAATGTAGAAATGACTGCATCACAAGAATGACACAAAGCAGCACATTTGCACCCACTCTGTCCATTGCTGTAAACTCTTTCACAACCACAGCACGTAATGATTTTGCATAATGCAATTTACTTAGCAGCTTTTTTCTTGTTCTCCGCTTTTCTCAATTTCTGCTATAAATTGAAACAAAATAGATTTTACTTTTACAGATAAGCTGTTTCATTGTTATGAGACATGTTATGAGATTATTTGCCAAACCATTCTGAAACCACATTGTGCTAATCAGACCAGTAGCAGAGCAGCAGGACCTAACCACACAGAATCTGTACCCGCAGAAACATGAGTCATTTTATCACGAATCTCTAAGAAGTTCAAAGGAAAACTGAAGAAAAAGTTAAGTGGTTTTACAGGCAAACCAAGTTTCATATATACATTGAAAAAAACGTACCTTAAAAGTACCTTAATCTCAAAGAGATAAACATCTTTGTAAAATTAATCTACGAGATCATTTCTATCTGTTTTCCCTGGGCAGCCTCTTTGAGAAAGGTCACACCACTGCAATGGTGACATACGTGCGTGCTTGTGTCTTTGTATGGTTGCATGGGCAAGGGCTGCACACTTATTTGTATTAAAATGATGATCTTGTCTCACACCCATATGTGTGGACAAATATCTTGTTTAAAACCAGTGTTATGACATTTAGTTGTGATGGGTGATGTTAGGATCCGTGGCTAATTTAATGCATTATGCAGATCAATCTCTTCTTTACTATAGAAAAAACCATTGTGTGTTACTTTTGGACCAAATCTTCCATCATCCCAGCAGATGGAATATGCCCCCGCACCACTTGGCCTGTTAGCTTCCTGGCTCATGGCTAGCACTTAAGGCCTGCCACTTGCCAGTTGCCAGCCCTCCGTATGCTCCATGCTAACCTTCCAACAGTGTGTGTTTTGCTTGCACGTTAAGCTCAGTTTCTCAGATACACATTCACAGATCAGGTAGAGACATTTAAGCTGTTGACTTTATTTTCTAATCTGATCTTTGTGTCTGTCTCCTCTCTCCTGCAGTCCCCACAGTAAAGCCTCCTCCTCTGGGCCCAGTGGCCCTTGCAGCGGTGATCGCCGGCCCAGTGTGTGTTCTCTGCCTGCTGCTTGTTGTGGCATTTTATGTTTGCCACAGCCACAGGGGTCTGGGAGCCGGGGCCGCCGGGGCCCACCATCACCACCACCACCGGGTCCCTAATGAAGAAGATCCCTCCATGGACCATCCCTTCATCACTGTTGGAACGACGCTGAAGGACCTCATCTATGACATGACCACCTCTGGATCTGGATCAGGTGGGCACTGATGCCACTCTGGGGCTAACTGTGTTTGAGTGTGTTACAGTGAATCTAACAGTATAGCAAGGGCTGATGATGTATCTCAGCACGTTAGGAAGCTTTAAGGTTCATGTCCATACTCATAACTTTGAAAATCAATGATTACCAAACACTTTTAGGAAGGTAAGAAGAAGCTGTGACTTATTCAGAGCTATTCTCATTAAGCTGTTCTGTTGCCCTGAAACTGTTCAATGAAAAAAACTAATTTAGGAGGTTTAGATGCTGAAAAAGACTTTTATAAGCTCCAAATAACTTTTTTAATTAAAGAATAAACATAAATCTGTAATCATGTCAAAGTGCAGCCATGAGCTCATATTTTGGCTCTGTCATTCTTCAGATGTCACATATTTGTATTTCTACCAAGTCTTTTATTATCTAAAAGACAGCAGCAGATTTTCGAATGCACCTGTTGGGAAAAGCAGATAGTACTGTTGCGTTACAGTTTGTTGCTGGGGTGCATATCTGAGTGTGAGCCTGCAAATGTTTTGAGAACTATGCTTAACTGCTTTCTCACTGAGTTTAGTGAGAACACTTCTTCCTCTCATTGATAAATAAGAATCTGTGGAAACAGAGGGAAACAACTAGCATGTTTTTTCCAGAATTAATAGAGTCCACTGGTAAATCTCCTCTAAAGCTGAATAGTTAGTTTAAAAAAACTGAAGTGAAATGGTTTGTTTAACATTTTTTTTATGGTTCATTCTCTGTTGTATTCATTTTTGTGTTTCTGTTTATCATCAGTGTGATACATATGAAGTATGTCTCAAGTATATTATATAATTATTTTCTTTAAAGTTACTTTTACTTTAACAGAGGTTTAAAGTTCACAAATGAGGTTCTGTTTTCACCTGCGTTTGTTAGATATTAGGTGTGTTTGTTGGTTTATTTGTTGGCAGGATTACGTAAAAACGATTTTCACCAAACTTGTTGGAGGGATTGGTCCTGGACCTGCGAAGAACCAATCACATTTTTGGTAACACTTTATTTTAGGGAACACACAAAGTGAACATATTCAAGCACTTGATTGTAATCCATGTACAATAACGTCCTTACTTACCATCAATAAGCAGTAATTAGGAGGTTATTAAGGGAAAGCTGTTTGCAGAATAAGGTCATTAAGAATAAGGCATTAATAAGTGCTTTATAATGACTAATACAGAGCCAATATGCCTCTAATATCCATGCTAATAAGCAACTAGTTAATGGTTGATATGTGTTCCCTAATATAAAGTGTTACCAATTATTTTACCATGTTTTATGGCAAATCATTATTTGTTATAATTGAACTAGAATTAGATTCTCATTTGTAGGATTGTTCTGGCAGAGGTATGTACTCTAGTATTTTTACAATAGTTGTAACTCTGGGTTTGTAGAAGGGCCCTTTACCAGTTAAATACAAAAAGCCTGTGTGAGCCTGTTTCTTTGAATGTGTGTTTATATACACACACACACCCACACAAACACACACATACACACACAGATACACACAGATTCAGGGTGCAGTCAGGCATGCATATACACACACTGGCAAAAGCTCTTCTTTATGTGAGCTGAAAATTAGCACCTCTTTGTGGGGACTGACACCTCCAACACACTGCCAAGGAACTGCTTGGATTCAGTCTTCCCACCAGTTAACACCATATTGCACAATTTGTGTGGTTGTGGCTGGGTTTGTGTGTGGGTCCAGGTAATTCCCTTGCTCTGTGGACATAACTCTGTTCACACAGTCACATTATGGGGACTTGTCTTCCCTAAGTTATGTGGACAAAAAGCAGGTTCCCATAACATAGACATTAGATTTAATGGTCAGTGTGATGTTATGGAGAGAATATGACACAATGTGCAGTCACTTTATGACACCAACCCTAACTTTGTTTTATGATTTTGAGTTGTAATTTGTAAAGTCATCAAGAGTGTGTGATTATTATTATTAGTAGTAGTAGTAGTAGTAACAAAGAAGAATACAGTGTTGATCAGTTACAGTATCTGCTAGAGACTGAAAAATCAGCCAAACGAATGGTTTGGTCAACATGAGCTTATTTCAAATATATGTTATCACTGTGCATGTCAGCTGTAAATTAATAAAAGGATGTTGTCAGTACAAAACTTTCTAAAAATTTCTAAATAGGTTTGAAGTTATTTTGAGACTGTGTCAACCTAGAAACCTCATCATGGGAATGTCCCAGAGCATGCTCGTAACCATACTAACTGAGGGAGTGAGCTCTGCTCTGTCTTCTGTCCTCCCTGGTAGTATTGTTATCAGCCCAGAGAGAACGTGTGGTCCTTGAGCTCAAGCCTTGGACATTTTCCATGGATGTCCTCCTACTAACTGCTTTTATATCTTTCCACATTTTTTCCAGAAATAAACACGTTCTTTATGTGAAAATGTTTTAATTTTTTACAATTTTTCCTTTCCAGGTCTGCCGCTGCTGGTCCAGAGGACCATCGCCAGAACCATCATCCTCCAGGAGAGCATTGGTAAAGGGCGTTTTGGAGAGGTGTGGAGGGGTAAGTGGCGTGGCGAGGAGGTGGCAGTGAAGATTTTTTCATCCCGGGAGGAACGCTCCTGGTTCCGTGAGGCTGAGATCTACCAGACCGTGATGCTAAGACATGAGAACATTCTGGGCTTCATTGCTGCTGACAACAAAGGTAAGAACGCTCCAGAAGAACTCTGAGAGGCCGTAGTGAAAGAGTTGGGGTTAGCAAACAGTAAACAAGATTGGAATATAAATCAGACTGGAGCCAGCCAAAAGGAAAATGATTTAACACAAATAACGGACTGTAAGGATGGAAAAAGCAGGGCACACAGTTGTGAGGCTAAATAAAATGCCTATGCCTAACAGTTCACACAGCTCCCAAAATGTGTGTCTGTGTCTGTGTGGGTGTGGGGGTGGGTGGGTGGATGGGTGTTGATTCAAATAATCAATATAAATGATTGTTTATCTTCATAATTTTTTTAATGCCATTTTTTGTTAATGGTAAACCATAGAAAATCCCTTCTTGTGTCTTCCACCTGTGTTTAAAACCTATGGACAGCAGTTAAAAGACTTTTATATTGTCACAGAAACGTATACACTCACAAGGAAGGACATGTAGCACAAGGACAAACCCACATTAATTCCTTTATCTCCCTGCTTGTCTTCCTGTTAATGTGTAGATAACGGGACTTGGACTCAGCTGTGGCTGGTGTCAGACTACCATGAACACGGCTCCCTGTTTGACTACCTGAACCGCTACACCGTCACTGTGGAGGGCATGATCAAACTATCTCTGTCCACAGCCAGCGGCCTCGCTCACCTCCACATGGAGATCGTGGGAACACAAGGTGAGACACACTCATTAGTTCCAGGCTCACATGTGTTTCAGCCTGGGGATACGAATATAAATGTGCAAAACTATGTTTTAATTTGAACAGCTACTAGGTTTATCGATTGGATTGGAATCATCAATTATTTTTCATCGATTGAGCTGCAAAGTACAAATAACAGACTTTGCTTAATTAATTTCTAAATCACATTGTTTAAGAAAAACCTCCATAAAGCAAACTGGAGCATAAAAAAAGTCTGTACTACTTTTGTTCTATGCACTTAACTATATCGTAGGTAGTCTTATCCTACGTAGGTGATGATGTCAAGATCTAAGTCTTTCAAAAGTCTTAAGTCTGATCCTTAAATAGCAGTGTGTAAACAATGTAACAAAGACGTTGACCTTGGTTCAGACCATAGTCTAGACTTTCAGTTGTGAAAACTCATTATCTATGTTCAGTAAGATAAAGAAGAAAAAAGTGCCTAATGTGACACATTTATTTATTGACGACAATTTGCTGTTCATGTGTGTATCCATTGTATTGTCTGTTTTCTAAAAATATGAGGTGAAAACAGGTCTTCTTGTAGTTGGAAATCCATCATCGTGAGTGGCATTTAGTTTTTTCAGTTTTGTACGAATGAACAGAAATGACAGCGTCTGGAGGAAAATAAAGGGTTCCTCTAGTGCGGGCTTGAGAATGAGCTTGTGCACACAGGCAGTGGTGGCTATCACAGTGAAAAATGTCATTCTGAGTGCTCACCCTTCGACTTCTTGTAGATTTTATGTTTGTATTTTGACCACAAACAGTTAAGTCCCCATCTACACAGAGCAATTTCAAGCTTGGGTGGGTGGCCAGTTACAACATTAATATTGATAATTTTATTTGTGTAGTACTTATCCAAACAAGGTGACAAAGTGCTTAGCAAAATACATGGCAAAAAAAAGCAATGAATAAAAATAAAGGTATTCAATTAAATTTTAAGGGCCAAATCATAATATTTTAAGGTCTAGACCTTAAATTTAGAGAACCCCAGTTCCCACAATGAGCAAGCACTTTGGTGACTGTGGAGAGGGAAAAAAACGAAGAATGAATGATAATCTTCAGTGCTACCTTGGCGTCATCATCAACCTTTTAACCATCATACCTTTAAAAGCCAAACCTGGGGCTACGCTGAGGCTAAAGGTAAATATGACTGGCTACTGGCTTGTATGGCATTACTATGAAAGCCATGTGACCCGCTCAGTACATCAATCAATCAATAACTCAAATCAAATTTGATTTGTACAGCCCATATTTGAAAACCCCAATTTGTCTCTTAACAAGGTGTGATATCCTCTTCCCTTAACCCTCAACACAACTGACTACCAAAATAACGTTTTAACGGTAAAAAAACCTACAAACCTCAGAGAGAGCCTCATGCGAGGGATCCCTCTCTCAGGACGGAAAGGGGTGCAATAGATGTCACGTGTAGCTGAACACATCAACAAAAAAGCAAAAAAAAAAGCTATCCCATTTAAGAAACCACATAAAATGTAGTTGCAATATCGGTAATATAAAAAGAATTAAATCAACACAGTAGCAACAAAGTTACAAATCACGTTAAAAATGCCCTCCTATAAAATCATGTTTTGAGCAGTGAATAGTGACAGAGTGAGTAAACCTACTTTTATCAGGCAGGGAGTTCTAGAGCCTCTGGGCCCTGACAGAGAAATCCTGGTCACCCTGAGTAGCCAGCCAGACCTAGGGACAGCTGGAATGGACAGGCTGGCCGATCTCAAGTTGCGACTGGGATTGTAGGGAGTCAAGAGCTCCAAAATGTAATTAGGGGCCAGTCAACATTGAGCTTTAAAAGTTATTGAAAGAATCAATCCTGTATTAAGCTGGCAACCAGTGAAGGATTGGTGTTATATCAAACCTACAGTTTGTAGGCAAGCTGCAAACGAGTTTCTAAGGTTTGACTAAGGCAATGTATAAAGTGCGTTGCAATAGTCCAGACAGGAAAAGATGTCTGTTGTGATTGCAAACAATAACCATTGGCGAAGAATTGAAATTCCAAACACTGTCAGATATTGAAATAGTGCGCAAGCCTTATTTCCCCTTCGATGCATATGTAATCGTTGCTAGTGAGATATGTCTGAAAAAGCCCGGTGGAAAGGGCCTCTCTTCTCAGTTCTAACCGCTCTTTCAGAACAAAATGAAAAGTATGTGGTGGGAGAAATTACCCCATCCTATGGAAGAACACAAGTGTCAAGGGAATAGGTAAAAAGCATTAAATATGCAATAGCAGTATGCAATGATCAATTAGTCACAGAATCCATTTTTTAACCTTTAATTATAATAAAGTGCATTTATAATTAGTAGACTACAGTATGAATAAATTCCGTGTGAATTATTTTAATTGGCAATAAAAAGAGGAATTACAAAAAACAATTGATAATTCAAAATGCAAAAATAATTCTAAATTGAATGAATTTAAATCTAAAAAATCGAATTGAAAATGAGGTTTAGAAAGATAAGCAATTAACTAGATTCACAAACTATATTAAGAATTTAATCAGGCATTTAAACATACTTTCCCTGACTCCTGCATTTACAAACTGCATTTTTTTAAATGTATTTTACATTGTAATAGCAATGTATTTTGTTTTTTTAAACCCCTCTTTGATTTAAACTATTTATTGATGCATTATTGCCTCAAACATTAATTGTTTTGTAATCCTGTATTTATTGAATTACTTTATAATTTGTTAATTTAAAGATTGATCTTTATGAATCTTTAATTTATGAATTCCTACTTTGTTTGTACAATTATTCACCCATTAATGAAAATCTTTATTGCAATTTGTGTGACACTCCTGGTCCTCCATGATGCCCAAACAGCTTTATCTTGGTAATAAAATATAAAGTAAAATCATCACCCTTGTCTTTTTTCATGTTGACTTTTCTCCTGATAAATAGAACGCCCAGTTATACATATTAGGGTTTCAGCACAGGGTTTTTGTTGAACTTGTGAATCTGTGTCTCTCTTCAGGCAAACCAGCAATAGCCCACAGAGACCTCAAGTCAAAGAACATTCTAGTGAAGAAGAATGGTACCTGCTGCATCGCTGACCTGGGCCTCGCTGTCCGCCATGACTCGGCCACCGACACCATCGACATCGCTCCAAACCACCGAGTGGGAACCAAAAGGTAACCTGACCCCTTTCTGATGTAAACAGGTTGTTATCAGATTTGTAAGAGCAGTGGACTTGTGATTGAACAGACCTGTCCTGCGCTCACTGTAGCAGGAGGTTATTGGTCAAAATTCTGTGCTGTATCTTCCACCGCGACATGAGATTCTTTTTGGGACAAACTCACCTCTACTTGGCCGTGCGGGCAGGTGTTCACAGGTTGTAGTGTTTTTTTTTACAGCAGGTCTGAGTTTCAAAACAAGTCACTGCTGTGAATTGGGAGAGTAAATAAAGAAGTCAGGCCATTATTGTGTCACCAAATATTCAATCTTCAAGAGGGGACTCTATTTTAACTCGCAAGGTTCTCAAGATTTCATCTGTGGTTCATATGAGTCATTTTGTCAGTTTTGGCTCGCATGCCATTCCAGAGGGTGGACACAGGTTGTGTTGGTGCTCAGGCCATCAGAGATTTGTTCACCCTGACAGCCTGGGCCACTTGGAACCTCTGGACAACACAGACCTTGAAACGAGTCCTCTGTTTAGTCACCAGGGCAACCACTATGTAGCCTTGAGTCTTTCCTTTGTGTTGTGAAGCTCAAGGAGTCTATGAAAAAAGGAGAAAAGCCATCAGGGCCAACATAGAGATTTATCAGGAATTTGTGAAAGGATCTGTGATGCAGAGGAGGTGTGAGGGCGTACAAGTGTTATCATGTAGTGTTGAGAGACTAGAGCTAAGACAACTGTTGAGGTAAGTGATTCATTAGTTAGTAAAGTGATGATATTTGTGCTAAGGACTGCTGGACGGACAAAAAAGAGCATTTGATTATTTCCCCTAGAGTTTTCTGACATTTATAGATTAATTGATTTATTCTCAAAACTATTTTCAGATTCGGTGATAAAAGATAAGTGTTATTAGCAGTGAAATATACGCATTGTAGCAACACTGTAAACAATTTCCATTACTGCAACTACCAGTTGCAATCCTCCATCACATAAACCGCCCACAGGCATTAGTGCAGATTTACACCCAGAGTCATTCCATGGATCTGGAAAGGAAACATTACCCCTCTAATCCTCCCTGCGAAAATTGAATGTTCAGCCCTTTAAATGATGCCAAATTAATTAAACACTCATCACATTTATGGTGAGTCAGCGGCAGCCTAGTGTCTCATTATCTGCTTCCTTCTTTAATTTTTCTCGTGTGGACGTTTCAGGGATTTGTGTATTTTTGTGTTGCCATCAATCATCTTTGGTTAACTTAAAATAAATGTTAATGTCAATCACATGTATACGATGTAACATGTTGAAAGATGCATTCAATGTTACTGCTCATCAACTGTGCTAAACAACCAACCCCTTTGTAATCCAATCTATTTTATTTGTTATGCAGCTCCAACACAGTTGCATTGATATAGTTCAACTGTTGTGTTTTTTTTAATTTGGCCCAAACTGTCATTAAACTAATAGTAAATAAACAAAAGCAAACTAATTGGCTAGCGCAGCCCCACATAAATCCAACAGGTTGTTAAGATACAAGTCAAACTTTGAAAAGTCTCTTTATTCAAAGGTTATTTAATTATTATAACACCCACTCAAATATGTTCCCTTGCTTTGTACATTTCCACTCAGCTTCTTCTAGTTCTCCAGACAGAGAGAACTTTCACTTTCCCCTTGTTTCTCTACATCCATACATCTCCTGTTCTGTAATGCAGACCTGTGTAGCTGCAGGGTTGGAAAGGCAGCAGTGCTCTGTTTCCTACACTCTTCCCCCTCCCATGGTGATAGCAGCATAGCTTTTGCTTTGGAATGCCCCCCCCCCTCGCTGTGGTCTTGTGTACGTCTTGCCCCTTCCTCCTCCTCTGTGTGCTGGTTCGATGCTGCGGGTGTATTTCATTGCCTCTAAATGATTCAGGAAGCCTTGGGTCATTGGAGACAGAAGCTGGCTGGCTCTGGATGAAATCCATGTTACATACTGATGATCTGATCCCGACAGTGCCTTTTCTTTTTTAGACTTGTTATCATGATGCCAAGCTTTCAGCAAAGTATCAGCACAAACCAAAAGTTTTGCTTGTTTAAAAACCTATAGTTTTGTGTGAGAAGTGAGTGCATATTGTTTTGATTAAAATTGTATTTGTGCAGGCATCTGTTTTCAGGACTACAAATTTTTTTCTGTCCAGCTTTTGGCAGTTTGGGTCCCACAGTCATCTGACTGAAGAATAACTCAGTGACACATTCTGCCCCTTGTTGTTTTTAATGTTACATACAGTTTTAGTCTATATATTTTTTTTCTTCTTTAGCTAAATAGAATGTCCTTTCTATGCATATATATGTGTAAATATACCTTATTACAATGCCATCAGCATATCATGCATCTTCAATTGAACTATATTTCAGTCTATTGTTTATTCTAACTAAAATCGCAGTAGGTTAAATGTTTATTATTATGAATGAATTAATAAGCAATAACACTCTTGTTCGGCTCAACACACTGTTTTAATGAATATATAGATGACGACAGCTTGCCTTTAAAATGTCGTGTATTTGCTGCCTTGTTGTTTACCACAAAATGAAGCCCTCTCTAAGTTGCTCTTGCTTTCTTTGCTAATATTGCTTAAGGTCTGATGTTGACAGTGTGATGTTTTCCTCATTTATCTGAAGCACAGCAGTTTTCGGATTGGAGGCCATCCATTCATCATGTGTACACGAATCAGTTAAAGAATTTGATTTTGACTTGGTCTCTTAAGCCCAGAGTGAGAATTATTTGATTACACTGCTGAATCCATCTCATTAGAGATCATCAACACTGCACACATCCATACTCGCAGGTTTAACTCTCACTGATTGATCAGATTTCAGTACGTACAAAGACTGACACCCTCAGAGACTCTGATATGGTCCGTTTTTCAAGGTTCTTCTCATTCCTCCACTGCGCTAATTAAATAACGGCAGCCCAGTGGATGGAACTGCGATGTGGCACTTTTCAAATTGGAAGCTGTATCTAAACTCACATCTGCTCTGCTGCCTTCACATGGCTGCACTGATTAAATGAACTGAAGGGAAGGTTTTCATTGTGACAGATAAGGTTTAAAATTGACCCACTAGTATATAGATTGATATATAGTATTTTACTGTCCCCAGTTTAAACTTGTCTCCTGGTTAATCGTGTTTTTAATTTGCATCAACCAGCGTTATTCCACAACTCCTGCTCACTTGCTCCAACTATTTGCTTTAGTCTTTTTGACAGAATTAAGAGAATTGTTCGAGTTTGTCAGTCAGGCGGTCATTTAAACACTGAAGCAGCTTTTGTCTGCAGTGATCATTCCTCCTCCTCCTTCATTCTTATACCTTTCATCTGCTTTCAGTCTTCTTGCAAAGTTTATATGAAGCAATTATGTTGCATCAGTTGTTTGTGTGAGTCAAATCGAGTGAATTTCTTCCGAAGTCAGTCTCTGAGTGTTTTTCTTTGCTCTCTTTGTGTCCCCAGACATGTTTCCTTGCTGAGCTGAAGCAACAGAATAGTAACACACCAGTAAACAAGAGAACATAGGAGACAATGCTTCTGGAAATAATTTTAGAATTTTCTATTATCACTTTAGCATAAGTGGGTTCATCAACACAGAAATATTTTATACCTTGAATTCTTTCGGCTGTTGTTGTTGCACACAATGTTTGTTGAAGTAAATTTTGATCAACCTCTGCTCTGAGCAGATGTTGCCTTCAAACAAATTGACTCTGTTTCACGAATATGTAGATATGTAATTGTTTTGCCATTATATCTATATTCAATACAAAACAAGCAATTGGGAATTATCTATCTAACACCCGCGCATGAGAGAGATGAATTCACATAAAACAGAATTTAAGAAGACCGACATTTCAACAAGAGAACAAAGATGAAAAAAATGACATAACCAAACATCCCTTACACTGATGTCATCAATATATAAAAACAACAGCCTTTCAACATCAAACTGCTGCAGTCATTACTGTGATTATATCTGTCTGGATAAGGATCCATGCAAGGAAGGAGAGATTGTGTTGACAGAAAGTGGCTGATCTAAATCAGTCAGTGGTTACACAGCACATTGTTAGTTTTTTTTGTTCGGTCATACGTTTCTCAGATTTATATACCACAACTCATTTTGCATCAAACATGATGTCATGATAAATGTAAACATTTCAAGTAAAAAGAAAAAAAAACGATCTAAAACGGAATGAGATATGTAGCTTGTTTCTTCAAGGCCTGTTTAGCATTGTCAAGCTACAAGAACTTGGTTATTAACATTTTCCGCACATTTTAACAAGACCACTATAATTGTGATACACAATTTTCACATCCATTCGTCTGCACCTTATGACATTTGGTATTTTTTTAACCCTTGTATAATATAAACCTTGGATTACAGCGTTCTGGCTCTCACTCAGTTTCATTGCTGTACACCGACATGTTGTTTTGTACTGTACATGTGCATGCTGCTCTGGACATGAAACTGTCAAAGACAGAAAAGTACCCACTTTTTATAGTATGCTCGCGCTGGTCTTTGCACTCTACAGCTCAGTACTGTTTCTCCAATAATCTCCATCTGTCTCAGATCATCATTTTAGCAATGGGTGCTTAAATGTGAGAACAGACTGATAACAGTCCATTATCTCTCTGCTCAGGTATATGGCTCCAGAGGTTCTGGACGACTCCATAAACATGAAACACTTTGAGTCTTTCAAGCGGGCCGACATCTACGCCATGGGACTTGTCTTCTGGGAGATCGCCAGCCGCTGCTCTATGGGAGGTGAGGATCAAATGAAAGGGGATGGCAGGGAGGGTGAATCATTGAGTGAATGAATGGGTGGTTGACAGATTAATGGAGGAGGAATGATTGATGAATGGAGCAAGAGAGGAACAGTTAATTATGGAAATATTGGCTCACCATTATTTGCATAGATGGAGGGGTGGATGCAGGAACAGCCAGTCTGAAAACCACCAGAATGTAAAACCAGAATATTAACCACAGATTTTGTTTTCTGGCAGGCATCCATGAGGACTACCAGCTGCCCTACTACGACCTGGTTCAGTCAGATCCATCAGTGGAGGAGATGAGGAAGGTGGTTTGTGAGCAGAAGCTTCGGCCCAACATTCCTAACCGCTGGCAGAGCTGTGAGGTAAGACTTGTGTCGCAGGATTTTGGGGGAAGTTACATTTTTGTTCATTCTTTTTTATCCATAATGGAATGCATGTGGCAATCCACTTTTGCATCTGCATATATATATATATATTTTATACATCACAGACTTGTCCGTGGTGAACATTTTCATCTCGCATCTGCTCCCCGGTATTTTATTCCTCTTTAACTACAGTAGCTGAATGTTAAATCAGAACTGTGAGGAGTGGCCTGGGAGAGATGAAGGGGGCCATGGAGAGTTGCGGTGAAGTGAAAGGGACAGATCCATTTGGGGGATTTGTCATTTTATTTTGCTGATATAATAGTCTGCCTCTGAGATTTCATTCAACTGGATAAATGACTTAATCACTTATTATTTACTATGTTTATTTGTATATTCATTCATTTAGCCCCCTCTTATTTGGGCCTTGTGGACACAAATGTGCCTCTTTGCACACAGAGTGGTGATCACAGCAGTTCCATGATTGCACTCGCCGATACTGGCGTGCGCCGCGAATCATTTGTGGTTGTTGTAAAATGATAGCATAATGCCCAACCTTACTGCCTACTCAGCTGACATCTCTGACCTGCTACAGTTTAAACACATTTTCACGCTTCTCTGTGTTTATACATTCATTTTCTTTGTGGCCAATGCAACAGTGTCAAACTGATCACCTCATAATGATACAGTCCTCAAACTGGTTAAATCTTTCTTCACAGTTCATACATTCATTCAGTCTCTTCTGACTATGCCTCCCTTCTCTATCTCTCTTGCTCGCAGGCACAAACACAAACATTGTCATCGGACACATCTGTAAAAATACCATAATTTGCTCTCTGTGAACAGAAATTGAGAGGTTTTTATTTGCAAATAGAGCTGGGAAGTGAGATCTGATCGCATGTGTTCACAGGAGACACATCCAGGATGGATTTTAATGATGGGTGTGAACAGAAGGACATAACGCTGTCCTCTTGTGTTTGGTTCTCTCTGGACAGACGTTAATACCAGGTCTTTTTCAGTAGTCCAGTGGTAGTTTTGATTCTGTCTGATTCTGCACCAAACTAAATGTAGGGGAGAACCTCTCTGCTGAATTGTATGTGCAGCAAAAACATGCAGTGCCATGTCTATCCTTGAAAACTGAGATATAGAAATGTTGCCAAGGCGTCTAGTAATGTTTTATGTTCAACATGTTTGAAAAGTTGTATTTGGCAATAAGCCCAAGAATCCTTCTCAATACCCATCACTCATTCATATGACACACACTCACACACACACAGACACACAGGAGCACAAGCACTCAACTCATTCCCAAAGTCCCCAGAGAGGAAGAAACCACTCAGTGTGTGTGTGTGTGTTTTGTATCTGCAGGCCTGGGTTTCGGATTTCAAAACAGTACTATGGGCACACACATTTTTAATATTGCTTTCTTGACTTTGTTGAGGGTCATTATGATTTAATTTGAGGTGATAGTGGTGCATGTAAGCGGCATCACTGTGTGGAGGCTCAGGCATGATTGTGCTGTTTGCAGTGTGTCCGCAGGTCTTTTTTTTTTGGTATCGAAATGTGCTGACTTGAGATCATCAGAATGAAAACCACCACATTTGCTGACATTTTGTCGCAGTAACAGTTCAATGCATATTCATTCAATGTAGGTTTTTCCAGAAGACATTTTCAGGGGTTGAAGACATAAAAAGTGACACAGGAAATTGTCTCTCGCGCTATTATTCTCAATGAAAGCGATGCCTCTGGGCTCAGACAGACCATCACTTGAAGATCAGGACAGGGTCCAACTTCAGAACAAGCCAGAGTTGAAGTTACACAGGTCGACACTTTTGCCATCAACCTTAAAACACATTCAGCTTTTGTGTGATTCAACGTAAAGCCAGCCTTTACTTTGCTTCTCTGCAGACTTGGAAAACCTATGATAATATTACATTCATTTAATTCAGCACATACACTCACATCAAAAGTCTTTTCTGTAACCCAGTTCATGTTGTTACATATTTTGGATACACATACAACAATCTAACCCAATGCAGTGTAAAACAGACACCTGCACATAGACAGTCTTCTGAATGAGCTACATGAAGTAGGCACCAATCTTTGCACTTTTTTCCACAACATTTTATTTTATTTCTTAAACATGATTCCTGAATCTTGTTCATCCGAGTGCCATTCTTGTTCCAGATACTTCAGGGTACTTACGACCAACCAACTGGGGCTCCTTCAATTAAATTCATGGTTTAAGTGTTTACAGACAAGTGAAATGTGAACATTTCAATTCTGTTTTTGTATTTTCCCACCATTAATGCGCTTTTCAAAGTACCACAGCTTTTATTTGGACTCGTTTAGATTTGCGTCCCAAAACCAGTTTATTCACTTTGTACAATACGAGTCAGCTTCTGTTTTTTGTCTAGACACAGGAATTTCTGAGATCAGCTCACACATACCAACCACTAATTGTGCACAACGATGAGTCACAGGCTAACAGGTTCAGTAAGGAAGTGCACATACAGACACAGAGACTGATTTTAATCCATTAGTAGCAAAGATTACTGGGGTTGGAATCTGCCTCCTACAAAATAAGTAGGCGAACCTCAGAATGTATCAGTTGTAGGTAAGTTTATTTTTAGATGCTAAAAAAGGAAGGAAAAGAAAAAAGAATTTAATAAGCTACCTATCACCAGCAGGTATCATTTGTGCCTGTCATGTTGAGTTATGGGATTCTAAGAATAGCATGCACTTCATTCTGCTGCCTTTTAAAAAGGAAGAATTGTGTAAAAGTCAGATAACAACAACGCCATATAATATGTACAGATTACTTTCAGGTTACACTGTACTACAGGGTTCGCATTGATTGTCTTATTAGAATATCTTATTTAATTATAATCATGAGAAGCACATTTAATGCCAATAAAGAGTGTATACTGTAGTGGGCACTTAAGATGTTTAGTTTCATAAAACCGCCGGAGACCATCTGACCGGTCCCAAATTCACTCATGACAGCAATCCAAACACACAGCCAGAGATGTAAGCAATTAGCAGTGCTAATTCAGTGGCTAGAACAAGTGCAACAGATGGTGTGGCCCCCACAGAGCCCTGATCTCAACATCCAGTCAGTCTGAGCGTACATGCAGAGATGGTAGACAGACCAGTATTTATTAGAGGTGTGGAAATTTCTCAACTCTTAAATTCATCACGATGCAGACGTTGACGACTCTGCATCGATGCAGAGGCTGAGCACACTCCTTTCATGTTTTCTTCTACGTTCATTGTTTTAACAATGTCTCGCCGCTGCATATTTATAACACCGCTGACCCAGGATCAGGGCAGAGGCTCATTAATGGTCCGGTCATCTCGTGTCAGAGTCTCTGTCGGAGTCCGTTTCCGCCTCACTCCCCCCTGACCTGCGCTCACTTTAACTTTAACAATAAACACCATCACTGGTCACACATTGTTAGGGCACGCACAGGATTGACGTTTATGGTGTGAGTGTGTTTGTTTGATTCGCTCTAGAGTTCAAGACACACTTTTAAACCTGCTACACAACACAAGATGTAACGTGACGTGCACAGTTAGGACATCAGTGTTAAAGTGACCGGACTTAACTTGATCATTGCAGAAGAAGCGACGCCCCATTTATCCAGGCACATAAATATGAATTCAGCAGGTTTTAAATAAAGATCAGTTCTAATTGCGATGATTAGAAAACATCAGAGGAGCAGAGTCACTTGTGGACCTGTGAAATAATGCGCCTCAGTGCAGTGGTGCTGCTAAGGAGGGGCCAGGCGGGGCCACCTTGATGCAGTAAAGGCTATAATCAGAGTTTGTCCTTTTAAGCTTTAGATGCAACACACAAGTCTAAACTGAATGAATGTTACATCAGTGCGGAGAGCACTGACCACCGTTATAGACTCACTGGTGTCGTCTGATTTTTGAATTAATTTTTGTAAATTACGGCACACTTGTAATAACAGTAACAGTCTGTACTGTTACTGTATAATACATTTTAAAGAACTTTCTAAGTATAAACAGAGTTCATGTTTGTCTGACTGATTGTATTAATTGATGACAAAGCAGCCATGTGCAGTAATAGAGAAAATTGACTGCCTAAATGTTATATCGAATCGCTTATAACCTTTAATATTTATAGATAAATCTAAGACTGTTGGCCTTTGTGTAGCTATGAGTTGGCATTCTAGTTTCTAATGTATCCAGTGATACGTTTTTTACAGAAAGCATGGGCACAGCAAAAAAAGAGCACAGTTAAAGAACATGATAAAAGCCTGGTTACTTTCCCTGGATAAATATACATTTCACTCTCTTCTATTGGCTTTTCTTATTGTGTGAAGCCACTTACTGTGATCAAAGCGACTCGATTGAACGAATATATTGTCTGACAGCAACTGGCTGAACCCATTGTCTTTTCTCGTCTTTTTATTTTGCTGCTAAAATGGGCTCTGACAATTAATTCAACTCTACAAAGGAACCTACAAACGGGCACTATTTATATTTCATATTTCTCTTGCTCACTTCTCTCTTTTCTCACTGACACAAACATAAACGCAGTTTCATCGAACACAAAACATTATTTCGTCTTCATGAAGATAATTATCGTGTTTATATGCACTCAGAGCAGTGAAAATAATGCATATTGCCCAACCCTGTCAAGATCCCCGTGTGTATGGAATGCTCGTTCAGAGTCAAGTTTTGTACAGTTGTACCTCTGCGTTGCTGTTGAAGACATTTATTTGAAGAGTGGTGGGGGTGTTCAGTAAATGTAGCTGTGTCGGAAAGAGACGGTGGTAATATAAAAAGTGTGAGCATGCGCGTGGGCTTGGCATTGGTCCACCTGATGAAAGGGGGACTAAAATGTGTTGGGTGCCTTGATGAGCACTTTTGAACATTTTACAGATGATTCATAAGCGTCTCAGCAGACAGACACAGCGAGAGACTGACAGAAAGTGAGACACGAACAAACATCGACTCATACGTGCCAGATGCTGTTTACAGCCCCAACCAACAGAGATCTGAAGAAGTTCGTGTAAACTTTAGAGGCTTCGGCTCTCTGTCGGTCCAGTCTGTTTACAATGTCTCGACACAAGTCGTGACTTAAGTTGCACTTGTTAAAAAAAGGTTTCCCAGAATAAGCAAAATCGAACCAAAAATGATTGGTCTAGTTTGTCTCTGCTCTTACACAAACCCTTTTCTTGCTCAATTAGTGATTCCTGAAGATGTAATAATGGTAAAAGAAAGAATAATGTGGCCTGAAGTGTTTGCTGAAAAACAGAAACACATTTCGAATGGTCATTTACTCAAACTGGAGCATATCGTACAGATGCAGATGTGAGAACAGTAAAAATGTTTGAAAGTTTAGTCTCAAACTGGTAATATTACCTTTTCCAGTCATTTACTTTCAAGAGCTTTCAACAGCTTCTCATCCTTCATCAGTGTTTGGAGTTTGCGTGGTTGTTTGTCATGGCAACAGCTCAGTTTCACACTAACTTACATTATGACAGCTGTGCCACAGTTAGCATTTTCCTGTTTCTTAAAAAAAAAGAACTGTCCAACACGTTCAGTGTTTCTCTTCATCATCTCGCTCTAAAGACCTTTCAGCATCATCACATCTGTCTCTATTTTTACTACAGATGATTAGTGCATTTCCCAAGACATCACACTGCTCCAGAATGATGCTGTAATTATGTCACATTAATGTTTGTCCTCTCTCTCCTCTACAGGCCCTGCGGGTGATGGCAAAGATAATGAGGGAGTGTTGGTATGCCAACGGCGCCGCCCGACTCACTGCACTCCGGATCAAGAAAACCCTGTCCCAACTCAGCCAACAGGAGGGAATCAAGATGTAGACGCAATCACCAAACACACACACACACACTCACACACACACTCACACACATATCTCTGACTGGCATCTATATCTTTAGTGTAACAGCATTACTATCTTCAATATTATTCATCGATTCTTCCTCCACTTTTGTTTGAAGGGAAGTGAAGAATATTTTCCAGCTTTTTCAAAACCCATTTCATTAACCTATTAGATCCTACACCTGAAACTCAGGAACCATTCGTGTGTGTGTGTGCTGCACTGGGCTGACACACACACATGAATGGCTGGATCTATGGATGGATGATGGACAGATGGACAGATTAGATGGTTGTTTCTGAAGAGGATAAAGGCGTCAAAGGAACCCTCAACTCATTCTCCCACATGTTAATTCACTACATTCATCGCAAGACGTCTCTCAAAGATAAAGGCAACTGGTGTCCCGCTCAACTCCCGCCTCCACCGCTCATTACGCCCCCAGCCAATAAGAGCTCACACCTCCTCAACTATACTCAAGTCCAGACAGGGAGCTGGTCATCAGCCGGGAGGCCTCTGAGCTGCCGGAGCTTCACTATCATGTCCTCATATCTTCACTATCATCTCCTGATTTGTACATTTGCATTTCACTCTTTACTTTGGACATTAAGCTACTCTTCAGTGGGGCTGCAAGCCACTCATTTACATCTTTGAATCATTATTAAATGATGGAATATTCAAAGGGCCTGAGTGTAAGAAAAGCATGGACCCAACACTCAGAGACTGTTACATGCGTACATACATTCTATAATGGATGTAGTAATATGCACAACTAATCTAACAAAAGAAAATCTGTGAATATCTATTTAATCAAACACATTTGAACGCAAACAAATTCTATTCGCTTTTTAAATATAAGCAACAGAAAATGGCATCGTATCGTTTAACCACTGCCACATACTTATTGTTTAAATTTCAATTCCCCTGAATCAAAGCAGTCAAAATTAAAATAAATAGTTTAAGCTAAGGAAACAACATTGGAGAAACATTTCCCATTTCATGATGATTCAGCAGTTTGTTGTGTGAAGTTGTTTGCTGCCCTACTCTTGAGTCATGGTACAGTAGCACTGGGGACTGAAGCGAGGGAATCATGGGACTGTGTGTGCGCTGCTCTGTGGGGTTCACACACACACGTCGGCTTCTTCTAGTTGAGTTGTAAAAGCAGAACCTCTCATCTCTGCAAGAATTTTGCACCTGTTCTTTCTTCTGTTATTGTGTTTCCCCGTCTCCCGTCATGTTGTCAGGGAGTCGGACAGGTCAGTTTAATTTATTGTATTATTTTTTTTTTTTTTTCTTTTGGTGGCAGGGGATCTTTTGCAAAACTTAACAGGACATGATGACCTCATTCATTTTTGGCGAACATGCTGCAACATATGCAATATACAGTAGATAAATGTGTCTATTTTCTATACTCTGCTAAACCACAAACACCAAGAACAACAACAACAACAACAATCAGCTGCCACCATGCCTTCCAAGCCAGCTGTTACCGGAAAGTGCCAGTGCTTTAAAAACCCAACTCCTCTCATGTCGGCTGCCGTGGAGTGTGTGTTCTCGCGTGTATGCAGCTCTTTGCGTGTGTGTATCAGAGAAGGACTGCGGGAGCCCGGCCGAGCACTGCAAGCTTGTACTATGCACACCCAAGAATAGGTACGGAAAGCAAGAAAGGACACGCTGCACGTCACAGCACCCGCAACCCAGCCGACACCCTGGTGCCATTTCGTCAAACCCACATCTCCCCACCCCCTGACACCTGAACACCTCAGCAACAACTCATTTTACAGCTTCTCTACTCAGCGGACTGAGTCTGGAAACTAAGCTCCAGCACCTCAAACTGTGTTCAGTTGGAAAAACACACAAAAAAGCTTGTGGCGATTTTCAAAAAGAGACAAAGACTTGTAAGCATTACTGTCGTCGCCCTATAAATGTAAACTCTTGGATTTCTGATTTCTGTTTTCACACGTGTTTGCGCCGCTGACTGCGCAGCAGCACGGATCAACCTTTTAAGTGGTTTCTTCTCTTTAGGATAATCCACAACAAAAAAATCAGTGAGGTACATTCATTTAAATATAGCAAACGGATATTTACTAAGCCATAGGTTTTCCAGGTGTATCTTTTTTCTCTTTATTTGTGGCAAGTTGTTTTTCTACTAGAATGTACATTTATGAAAAACAAAAGATGAAAAAAACAATGGACACTTATGTCATTTCAGCTTAGCAAGCCTTAAGGGACCAACGCAGAGGAGTCAGGATCTGCTCTTATTCTTTTTCCTTGTTATTGTTTTCTAATCTTTTGTGAGATAAATACAAATCATAGGGATCCATGATATATGATCATGGATCTTTATGATAAAAATAGTGTCATGATTCTATCTAAAGGATAAAAAAAATATAATGTAGCACCTGATTGAATAGTTTGTTAGTTTGTTTTGTCTTGTTGCCAAAATTGCCATACATCTAAACCCATTCTCTTAATTTACAGAATTGTTTCCATCTGAAGCATAGTTCGTAATCATAATTACAATATAAATACACAAGGTATTAAAAGGTCAACAATGAATACACCCTGTACATGAGATCTGCCAGACAGTGTTATTCTCAAAAAAAATCCCACAGTCCCTTGATTGTTCAGCAATAAGTGCACTTCTGAACCACTGCAGGGTTTTCCTGTGTGGCAGTTTGGATGTCGGTGAGTTCGTCTTGTCTTCATTGTTTTTCTGACATAATGGATACATAACCTATTGATGTGCTGCTACCTAGTTGTCCACCTCGCTTTTCCAAGTCGAGGTGAGAGCTGCCGTTGGATGTAAATATCCTCAGATTGCCTAAATCTGATCATTCTGTGCCATGTTGCTCGGACGCAAATCCAGCACATTTGTCAGTTGTTAGGCAGTCTTCTCAAAGATTCGCTGATGTGTGTTGAAGCAGTGTTTGCAGCCGCTATTTCTGGAAGAGCGGAGAGTCCGCCTCTCTCACCGCAGCAGCTCATTTCACTGATGAGCTCTCTCAAAGTGCACATCAGTTCAATCAGTTGTTGCAGAATGGAAAGCTGCAACCTCCATTGACCATGTCTGAAAACCACCGTGCCAATCTTTCAATGGGGTTCTAATGGGGTTCACAGGAGCTTGTTCTCTCCAGTTTGAGGCCCACACAGTTAAAATGCACCTAGAGGCAGTTTGCCCCGCTCGAAGCCTAAGTTCAGACGATTCGATGCAAAAGCAAGGACATCTTTTTTCAAAACAATCAAAAGTACTTTCACTCAATAAAACCTATATTAATGACTTGTAGCAACTGATCATGTAATAACAAACATAATATTAGAATTTGTCTAATTCCTGCCTAAGTAGACTGAGTTTTTAAACCAGTAACTGCAACCCCATGTCGAATGAAAACAAACTAGAATCTCTATCAATAAAACTCATACCTCCGTCAAGGACAAGAAGATAGTAGAAATATAACATAAAGAGGAAGTGATCTGATGACCTGAATGATTTGACGCGTTTTGCCTTTGGGCAACCATATGTTCACAATTCATTTGGCCATGAGAAAATATTTAATATGAAATCATAAATTGATAATAGTCACCACGGGGCACCACCCTTCAAAGAAAGAGGAAAATATAACTGATTTACTGATCCAGTCTCAGACTATCAAACTATGAATTTGGAACTGTGATGCAGTTAACAATTAACTTAACTGTAGCCAAAATTACCACATCAAGTAGTTCACAAAGTTGAGGGATTTGGAAATCTTGGCAGTTTAGAGCTTGCCAAAATACACAGTGACCAAAATTGGCTAAAGTTGGGACATCTTAACCAAGCAATAAAAAAACGTGGGGGATTGTGAGAGTCTGAGTTCTGGAAGCTGTTAGTTTGTCTTCAGGACAAAGAAAAGATTTAGTCAGGCTTTGGATCAACATGTAGCTCTGTCTATTTTTCACCAACAGTATGTCCCAACAGTTATAAACATAGAAAGTAAAGAAAGTTTAAAAAGAAAATCATGGATCCCTGCTTTAATCTGAACATGCACAAAAATGTATAGGGATCTACAGAGGCCAAGACCCCAGTCCTCCACCAAGTTTGATGGAAATTAGTTTGGTAGTTTTTTTGCGTAATCTACTAACTTGACGGAGGTACAAATAGAGCTTGACGGTAAAAAGTTATTCATTTGTTAGAGTGCTTTTGAAAGTAGCCTGCAGTCTTTGTCAGCAGATGAAGTTCAGTCAGTTAACTCATGGAATTAATTATTATGTGAATGTTGAATATATGCAAAATTTATCTTAGGCTTCAAGACTTTGATGGTCAATATCCGAAAAGAAACCTGAAGCCGGGCACAGCAGGGAATCAGAAGTAGTGTAACCCAACTAATTCAAAGTAATGTTTGAACAACAGTGAGCTTTATTTGCTGTGGTAGAATTGAATAGGTTGCTAAATATATCTGGCTATAATATCCACAAACTGTTGAAGAAATGACATATTCAGTTGCTACAGGTTTTATTCAGCAATTCCCTTGTCCTTGACAAATTCGGTGAAAAACCAGTTTGACAAATAGCTGTTCAGGTGTAACATACCCACCTGTGTACCACTGCTCGGAGTTGCTGTGAATGAAGAATTCCCAATTATGTAGAAATGTTCAGCAGTGGCAGAAGTGACTTATTAATTCTTGTAAATACCTTGTGGAGTAGAAAACAGAAGAAAGCTATCCTAATATTTGAAGAAAGTAAAGTGGATATTGCTGCTATATTAAATAGAAAAAGGGTGACAAACTATGCTGAATTAAATGTTAAATGTGTAAACTAGTGGTCCAACTGGGCCTTGCCAGGCGAAACCAGGGCCAATTCTTCTTCTTTCTAAGCCATGCGGGTGGCAGGGTGAGGGATTGGTGGTGGTACACGAAACCCTAAATTTCAAATCTCTACGCATCCCTTTAAGAAAGCCCTGGCTTGTCCGACTGGGCCTCTGGGTAAGATTTAAACTGTACAGTATACATATTTCATTTCAATGTCATTCTCTGGGACAACAAAAGCTCAACTCAACAGCACCTCTGGTATGCCTCTACTCGGACAACCTTCATTCTGTCTTAAAGTCACCAGCAGCCTTGTACTTTTTCTTTTCAAAACCCAAGATGACTTAACTGTAAAAAGATGTTTGCAGCCAATTCTTGTTCCTCTTGTGTTCTTTATAGAGCAGTCGTTCTCTCTATCTTGCCTTTCTCTCTTGTCATTCCATGTTGTCTAACAGACAGATGTCTCTTTGCTACAGGGGCCACACTTCATTGCAGTCAGTTCTCTTGCCTCACAGCTCCATGATGGCTGAAGCAACTCGCATCCATCCCTGCCAAATTTTATTTCCATGTCCCTCTGAACTCAGAGTGTGCTTGAAACAATCCAGTTTGTATGATGCAATGGATTGCACAGGTTTTTCAGACGCTCTCTCCTTTAAGACATTCATGGTGTTGCCCTCAGTTCTACCCAAGACAAGAGACAGAGTAGTCACTTTCAACTGTCTCACGTCCGTGCTGCACACTCGTCAACTTGTTAGGTTTGGAAAGTTCTGAAACTTGTCGGACACAGCCAAGTTAAGCATACTGCTTTTAGTAGTAAATTAATATAGCATTAGCATTATAACATTTGTTTGTTAGGGGGGGTAAGGCAAATTCATAATTGATGCTGCAGAACCAGAGGTATTATCTTTTTAATTCCACAGTTTTCTACTTTTTCTACAAAATCTGGTGCCTACATTGACCACAATGCAACTCAACCAGCAACAGTTGGATCAGAAATTTAAGAGTGGCATGCTAATAGCAGCTAATCTAACCTTTAGCTTCAAGCAGAGATGAGGAGAAAGTAACGGAGGTCTGGTTATCTCAAATCTTTTTCAGGTTACTCAAAACAGGGCTGCATCCAACACACTGTAGTTTGTAGGTTTCTGATGCCGTCAGTTTGACCAACAACATGAATGTCTTCCAGGAGAGACTTTCTTAAGTGTGCGTCTTTATGTGTATGTGAAAGCAGCTTTTACAGGCTGCATGAAATCACTGAAAACTTGTTTTGTTTCAAGCATGCATTGACCTCAGGGGTATAAAAGCGGCCATACTGTCAGCTGTACCTCCTTTTGTTTGGAAATCATTGGGGTTTTCATAATTTGTGGGTTATTTGGGTCAGACAGTTTTGATTGGTTATTGCAATCACGAAAATTTAAAGAAAACCCACTGTACCTCCCCTTTGTGAATCTCACCCTGTCTTTTCTGTGTGTAGCTCAGATTGAAGGGGGGGGTCACCGTACACTGCTGATATGCAGCGTCCGTACAATTTCAAACCTCAGTTCCCTGGTCAACACAGGTGAAGGTCGCGAGTGGGAGAAGCGTCACGGCTGAGCCATTTAGTGACTCAAACCCAGACAAATATGCAGTCTTCTCACGCAACACTTTTTAACCAAGAAAGGTGGAAAACAAGAGTTTTCTTCTGCTCTTTGAACATGGATGGATGGACCAAGATGGAGAGGTTAACATGAACTATGCCAGCAGCTCTACCGCTTCTAACCACGCACTGAGAAATTCCCACAGCTGTGAATGTATCAGACCTCTCAGAGTAAATAACCGATCTGAGCACAACCTGCATAGCTCAACCCAAAGGTCGTGGCAGCAACTTAGTGAGCATTGCAAATATCCGCCACACGCACGGGTCTGTTTCTATGTCTCTGCCTCTCGTTATGCAAAGTCTGGGCCAACCATGTTCGCCCACTCAGTCCCCCTGGATCACCAGGATGAATGACCTTACTATGCTCGTATGATCCACACACTGTGAAGAGGTCCGTGTTAGGGTCAAAAGATTAAATCGTTCACCTTTCGTGGTTTCCCTCTATTGTCTCGGCGGAGACCTGCTGTGTGATGGTCTCTGCTGAAGCATCGGCAGTGCTTAAAGGCCAGGGAAGTGTTCTAGGTCGATGTGATCAGGGGTTTGGGTCACTAAAGGGCTCAGGCTCTGCTCAGTTACAAAGTTTGCTTCTCCAGGTCGATGCTGCTGTGAGGCCTTTGGGTGGCAGAAAGCTTTATCATGTTTTATTTGGTGCCTAAGTTTGACAAGACTTCTTTTACCTTTCACCTCAAATGACAAGACTGCATGTGATTGTGTCTGCATTGATGTCTGCATTATCTGCTTAATAGATATCATCCAAAAGCTGAGATCTTAAAAAAGCATAATTAACATATTAACAAGGTCACTTAATTGAAAAGAAAATACCTCCTTTTAAAGACCAATGTGTTTTACCTCACTGTATATATATATTCTTGATTTGTTTACTCCAAGTTTGCAATTTATCTTTCTCTTTTGTTTCTATGAAATGCTTAAAAAAGTTGAAGAGAAAAATTCGTTTTTTCTTTTCAATTGTACTTTTTTGTCAAATGGCATTGTATTGTGTTTGTGTTGTGCCCAAGCAGTATACTATTCCTCTTTTACCATGCTCTGTATATGACCTGTTGGTTGTGTTCTGCGTGAGCTGTACAGTCAAAGCGCTTTACAAATGTCCAAGCCCCCTTCTGAGCTCTGGTTAAAAAAAAAAATGCCTTGTTCAATATATTCTTTTGTTTAACGAAAAAAAATTGAAAAAGAAGAGTCAAAGTGGAGGTGGAGGAGGCTGGAAGTGAGGGGAAGGACTTTATACCCCTCAACAACTGTCGAACCCTCCTCGCCCCACAACGCTCTTGGATTTCTAAACATATTATAATCTTGACTTTTTTTATATAGTATGTACAGATGAATGAGAGATCAGCATAGGAACTAGAGGATTGACACTTATGTTAACTTCTAACATAGCTGGAGTAGAAAATGGTGTGAATAAAGAAACAGAGTTTCACTACAAGTTTTGTCCTTATTTATTGGTTCAGCAGCAAACCATCATGACGATCCTCCGCAGAACAGAAATCTTGGAACTGGATCTCTGGAGTGTTGAGGCTGATCTTTGAACATGGTTTAACTAATCCAGATTAAAGTGATGTCAGCCAGCTACAATAATCCAGATCATTCTTACCGTAGTTTGGTTCTGAAGGCTGATCTTTTCAAATGCAACAAACAGATTCATGATGGCTCCTCAGACCTGTGTGTGTATCTACCATTTATCAGAGGGAGGCAGTTTTATTTATAAGCACCTTTCAAACACAGAGGTAGATTCAAAGTGTTGTACTGATGTTTAAAAAAAAAAAGACAAATCTGAAGGCACAGTTTGAGCACTAAAAAGAGTAAAAAAATAAAAGGGATAAATCTATCAAAATATAGAAACAAGGTGAAAGGGAAAAAAATAACAGTTGGATAATAAAATAAAAATAGAATTAAATACAATGATGGAATGACCTTGTGAAATAGCTCATTTAAAGGCACTTGTGCATAAAAGGTTTTCAAACTGATTTAAAAAAAATTTAGAATATACCATAAGGCAGTTGGTTCCAGCTCTGTACTGAATAGTGACAAGAAGCTGCTTCTCCATGTTTAGAGTGACCCTGGGCACAACTGGCAGACCATTCCCCAGTGATCCAAGGGGTCTTGCAGGGTTCTATTGGACTGTCTGTTATGTATTTGGGAGAAAAAACCTGTTAAACTGAAGCGTACTCACTTGAGGCTTAATTCACCAATATTTCCCATCCATCCATTACCTATAAAGGTCACAGGGGGGGAGCTGGAGCCAATCCCAGCTGACGTTGGGCGAGAGGCAGGGTTACACCGTGGACAGGTCGCAAACCAATCACATTCACATGGTCACTTAGAGTCTCCGATAAACCCAACCCCAGTCTGCATGTCTTCTGACAGGGGTTACAGTGCTAACCACTGTCCCGCCATGCCTTCAGCATTTTTGTTTTTATTCCCCAACATGATCACACTATTACTGGAGTGTGGTTTATGGTGCATAAGAAATCTAAATGTTCCTCCAGAATATATATCCTCATTTTCACCGACATGCAGAGTTATGGCTTTGAAACACCACAATGCACATTTGAAATGGTGTAAACTGCCGACACATTTAAGCCGTCTTTCAAACATGGCCTTGGAGAATTGGGTCTTGAGTACTCTCTGCACAGACGTGTAGACAACAGCCACAGATTTTTTCCTGAGAGTTCAGGGGAGGGGGGTGGGGGGGTGCAGCAGGCAGAGGTTTGGATGTAAGGTAATAATTCTGCTGCAGGGATCATGTGATTTTGTTCATCACATCCACACGGCTTCTGCTCTTATCACCACAAACTCTTTGTTTGTGTCTTTAATGAGAGATGGAGAATTGCTCCACTTTTTCATGCAGAGATATTTGCATTCTGGGGGGGGCGGGGGGGGGCCAACATCAAACTGCGGAGGATCTCCAGAGTTCAGTGCATGTCTGAAAGCAGCTTTGGCAAGATACAGTATCTCATTGTTATTGAGAACAGGTCAATCCAGTGTATTGTTCCACTTCCCTTTCTTGTCACTCCCTGTGTAGCATGCTGAGCAGCAGATGGGGGCGGTGAGAGTAATCAATACAAATCCCCCCATTGGGAGTGTAGGAAAACGGAGCCTGCTAGTGGGGAATGAGCAGAGAAACGTGCATCCATGCAGCCAATGGAGCGACAGGAGTCCTCAGCAGTGGCGGATGAACGCGTGTGAGGCGATCTGTCAGGGACGTGTTTTAATCAGGAGGATAACTCTCACTGTGAATGAGAACAACACTTGTCTGTCTCTCATTTCCCTCAGAGAACTTTTATATTAACTTTTACATTTTATAGACAGCAGTTGAGCAGCAGATAGGAGCACAGGGAGTGATCAGTGAGCGAATCCACCGACATGCTCAAATCTCTGTGACCACAGTGGAGCAGTTGTCACGCGTTCACCTGTTCAGACATCCCAGCCTCGACATGTTTATTACGATAATGATGCTCTAAAACTGGAACTTAATCCCGGTATTGATTCCTTTGACTCTGACCAGCCTGAGGCCAATATCTCATTTGTTAGAGGAATTGACTGCAGGCTGTTCTGATGTTGACTGAGCCTGTGGAGTAACATCCAGGCTCATTTGGATCCATCAGCTCAACTGATTCTGCTGACGCGTGTGATAGGAGTGCAGCCAGAAGACAAGCTACCAAACTGCAAGTGACACACGCACTCCTGTTACAGCCGTCTTTTGAAAAGAATACACTTGAACTGTTTCTAGTTTCATCCTCGTCTTTTCCTATGAAAAGACCTATTTCCTCCTATATTTTTCACTTTCTGTTGCTATTCCTGTACATCTTCTTTTGTCTTTTTCTCTCTCATCACCTAGTGCTCACCCAAAATGTTTTTGTTTGTTTTGTTAAGCATCAAATCCACTAATCTTACCATAATTCTCTTTCATTCGACACGCCGCCTGTTCATCGCCGCTACAGCGTGCAGTTTTACCGTTGACTAGTTGCAGCCAATAAGGGTGCACATTCATTTTAAATCAGCTTTATCAAATTATCATCGACTGACTAATTCCACAGACACCTGTCGTCTGCCAGTCTTTTGAGAAGCTTGTTTTGAGTTCGAGGCATTTGTGAACGTCACACTAATCTACCTGGCGTCTGGACCTGGCTGTTACTGTTAAAAACTGATCCAATAGTTTAGGGGGGCTGTCCCCTTTGTGTTTTGGTTTTATAATAGTTAGATAGGATCTCTATTTCCATTTCTGGTTACTGTTTTTTTGTTGTTAATTAGTTAGCTCTAGGTTTCGGGTCCTCTGTTGGTTATATCTATCTCTATCGCCTCTGTCGTTCGCCTCAATTTTTTTATTCTTGTAATCCTAGGCCCAATTTTTTGTTCAATGAATAACTTACATCTGTTTTTTATCTTCCCTTCCTCTTCTGAGCTAAAGGTTGAAACAATAAATCACACACGTGAAAAGTAATAAAGCAAATTCAGTTTGTTTTTATGAAACATATTGACCATCAATAGAACAGAATAGAATGCCTTTAATGTCATCACACAATGAAGCATGGCGATATCACAGCAGCTACCACTGAAAGGTGCATTTAGTAAAAAAATATAACAATAAAAATAAACATGTTTATAGGAAAAAAAAAAAGTTCAAACTATACAAAATATTGCAAAAAGAGGTGCAAAAGGAGGTAGTTGTGGTTATCTTCATTGCAGATAAACCAGCTAGGATGAACACATAGTTTTCTAACTGCACTGTAGTGATCAGGGGATGGAGCTGTGCTATCAAAAAAACACCCGATTGACCAATCACAGGTCAGTCTCAGCTGTCAATCATTTTGTTTCTATAGCACCAAATAACAATTTACATCCAAACTTGAAGCATGAACACACCCATCCCTGTGATAAGAACTACATAAAATGACAGAAACTATCTGTCAGTTTGGTCCTTTTCCCCTCTGCTAACATGGAGGAGGCGGTGTTGATGAAATTCTGCAGTCAGTACTGTGTTTATTCTACAGTCTGTGTTTTTCAGTATAAAATACGTATTTTACTCTTGTATTTTTTTTCTTAATGGGCAACATTCCAGCCCTCCAGCTCAATGATATACATTCATTCATCACTCCCTGGTGTTTAAGAATTTTATACTCCATAAATTCTCAGACAAACTAACAATTAAAAGCCAGTATTCAAACAATGACCAATGATGTGTGTGTAAGGTGGGGGCAGAAATCCAAAACAGGCATCTGAAATCCTTGACTAACAAGATAACAGAGAACTTGATACCTCGATCGAGTGAAGTGAGGATATCTGTTTTATTACAAGGGTGAACTGACATGTAAAGGCGACCCCTGTGTTTTAACCGTGCATTGTAAAGGAGAAAGTACGTGTTAGTCTGTCAGAGTGACCATTACATGACCCAAATGCAAAATACTCCCCTGTGAGTATTTCACATCAAAACTTTTCACACCAGCAGAGTGTGAATCTGTGACGTGTCCAACACTTACGAAAAAGGTTTTTTAATAGATTTGCATCAGCACATTCTTCAGGGAAGAGAAGGGATTCAACGTCATCCTGTGATTAGGATCTTATCTTGACAAAAGGTTTAGGTTTAGGGTAAATTCCATTAGAGAAAGTGAAGGAGAGCTGCTCCGCAGCACAGAATGTCGGTGGGGTAGTGGAAGACTTGCTGGGGTTGTTGGTTCTTTATCGCAGAAGGCAGAAATTTATCTCAGGGCTCTATTGACCCAGAGCAGCTTTTGGAAGTGTGACATGATGTAAGTTGTTGTGCAGCTTAAGCTTCTATTATGTTCAGTCATTTCCTTGATGCCTTTACTCTGAACTACCTTCTGAAAACATAATCTGTTGCTGTTATTGCTGCATAATTTTGATTGAAAGTTGTCATGGCAAAAACAACGCTTTGAGGAAATGTATTTATCAATGGCCCCAGTGTGTATGGAGAAGTCTTTTACAATTTGTTACCGCAGCCAATGGAGGAGTTAATCTTTTCTCTCTTATTCCTCTGTTTGTATTGTTTTCTTTTTCAATTGGATTATGCAAAAACTACAGAATGGATTTCCATGGAACTTGGTGGAAGGATGGAATATGAGAAGCTGTTGAAGGTTGGCATGAGACAAATTGGCAGAACCAAGTTTTTTTTTTTTTAATTGATTTGACATTGCATTTTTACATTTTTTACATTTTCACAAATTTCCCTGAGAATATGTTTGCCATTCACCCATTCACACACACACATTCATACAGTGCATCTATTGGCAGCACTTTTTTTTTGTTCTGTGTTGCAATTCTGGGTTCAGCATCTTGCCCAAGAACACTTTGGCATGCAGATGGGAAGACTGGGGATTGAACTGCTGACCCTCTGGTTGGAGGAGGACCACTTCTGAGATTTTGCACTTTATCCTTTGAGCAAGGTTTGAAAAAAATAGAAGCATC